CGCAGTTCAGTTCTGGTCACCGTATTACAGAATGGATATAGAATCCTTGGAAAGAATCCAGAGGAGAATGACAAGACTAATCCCGGGCATTAGAAACCTTGAGTACAGAGACAGGTTAAAGCATCTTAACTTGCACTCCCTCGAGAGACGTAGAGCGAGGGGCCACATGATAGAGGTGTATAAATGGAAGTCAGGGCTAAGGAAAGGGGACATTACAAAGGTACTCAAACTATCCAACCAGGAGCGAACTCGTAACAATGGTTTTAAATTAGACAAATTTAGATTTAGGAGCGAAATAGGTAAACACTGGTTTGGAAACAGAGTAGTGGATGAATGGAACAAGTTACCAAATATCATCATTAACTCGAATACTCTGGATAACTTCAAACATATGTTGGATGCTTATATGAGCAATAGGGGTTGGGTGTAAATGGGACTGCCCAGTATAGGCCAATAGGCCCGCTGCAGTTTCCTCCATTCTTATCTCTATGTGTTCATCTCTCTTCATCTATCTCACGGTGCGTTTATCTCCCCCTCGTATCTATCTCACAAAAATAACTTTCTGTTTTTTTATGCTTGTGTGAAATCCTGATAATTTTAATTTTACGAGTGATATGTTTGTGGCGTAGGTGCAGATCTTAGGGTGTGGTGTAGGTACAGATCTCAGGGTATGGTGTAGGTAGAGATCTCAGGGTGTGGTGTAGGTAGAGATCTCAGGGTGGACCGTGATGTGGTTTATTATTTCTGCTGGCTAAACTCAACGTGCTGGCGGCCCCTGAGGGAGTGTTGGGGGTTCCTACAGGAGATTGTGTTGGTTGCAGGAGTGGTCAACCAACGAGAGGACGACGGTAGCCACCAAGGACCCGACCCTCCAGGGACTTATAGGACTGTGGAAGAGAGAGTCCAGCATGGGTCTGTCTCACAGGGACAAACTCTTAGCTAATAAGATCTACGGCTGCCTCGGTGAGTACCTAACCTAACCCAACCTAACCTAACCAAACATAACCTAACCTAACCAAACATAACATAACATAACCTAACCTAACCATAACATAACATAACGTAACATAACATAACATAACCTAACCTAACCAAACATAACGTAACATAACATAACCTATCCTCTCATAATTAGCTCTCACCTAACCTAACCTAACCTAATACAGCAAGTTGTGAGACGAAGACGATAATTAATTCCTTCTTGGTCTCTGTAGATGAGTGGTTGGCTAAATGTAACCTGAACCGCAACCCGTGTGAGAACGAAGGTTACCTGGGACTTGCCTGTACCTGTGTGTGTCCTCCAGGTACCAGCGGCCGCACCTGTCACCTCATCACTGGCGGATACTACGGTAAGTTCCCCCTCCCCCCACCCACCCACTCTCAGGAAGGTCAGGTCATATCAGAGGCTCTAAGGAAGGTCATAGGTCAAATGTCAGGTCACTACTAGAACATCAATCAAGGAAGACGAAGGCAATAGTTTACTTAGTCTAATATTTGGGAATTCCTTCATTTAAGTAATATTTTAGAATTGGATAAAAGTTTCCTGTAACGCCTGAAGTATATAATCTCTTTCACGTATATATTTGCAGATCACCTGAAGTCACCTTGTAGTCAGGACGTCACCTACCCTACCACCATCACTTCACCTAATTACCCCAACAACTACGACCCAGGTGAGTATATTGTGCACCTATTCTATGTTTATGTTCACACCTTCCCCTAAATCTCCTAATCCTCACCTGTTTTGGCCCCTCCTAGACGTTCCCCTGATTTTTCACCTGGATGTGCTCGCGTCTCCCTTGGTCAGACACCTGGTGCGTGTACCGGGTGGAGGCGCCGGAGTGTCAGGCGCCCGAGGTGGTGGTGGTGGACTTCCAGCTGGGACCAAGAGACCAGAGGGACCAGTGCTTCTACGACTACCTAGAGGTCCGCAACGAGTCTCTGTACGACGGCTTCCTGTGAGTCCCTCCACGCACGCACACACACACACACACACATGTCACTCAAACCTCCCTCCACACACACACACACATGTCATTCGCCACACTCACACATACACACACATGTCACTCAAACCTCCCTCCCACACACTCACCTGTCACTCACCACACACACAATGGTTGCCCCTCGTGTAACGAGGATAGCCGGCCCGAGGACCACCTAAGCCAACACAACATCCACACCCAGTGTCAAGGAATAGTCCGAGAAGACCGGACAACAAGCCAACTGCACTGGCTAACCATCACCCCGGAACACGATCCACAAAATGGATTAACATCCAGGTCCCCAATTACTGCTGGGTAGACAGAGGCAAATGACGTAAAAAAAACTTGCCCATAGTTTCACCCTGCCCGGGGATCGAACCCGGGTCCACTTACTTGCGAGGCGAGCATGTTGATCTTTTTTTCTTCTTTTTATACGGGGATTAGCCCACCCGAGCACAGGGCCTTGGGGGCGAACATATAATAATAATAATAATAATATTTAATAATAATTAAAAAACATAAAAATTATAACCAAAAAATATAAATAGTAATAATAATAACCATAGATAAATACACAAACGAAAAAATAAATTAAGAGTGAGAAACGATATACAACATGTATGTTGTGTTGTCAATAGTAAGAGAAACAGTTGAGACCCAGCAATTGTGTGTAAATGAGGCAGAAAGTCAGATCATCAACCTGGGACTTGGTCACATATGGCAGCAGGGTCTACCATTAGACAACACATTATGCTTCCAATATCTTCCCAGGGGGTAGTACCTCCCTGTTTGGTAGCTGCCAACTACCACAGGTCGCCCGCCCCACATACACACCTGAAGACAAACTAATCAACCTAACCTAACCTAAAACTACAAGATAAACTAGATCGTAACACAACATTGATCTTAATTCACAAGGAAAATAAAAAAACTCACTCACTCTCCCTTAAGAAACAAACTATTGACAATCTCACACCTGAACCTCCCTCAGTCCCTCATGTTAATCACTTGTTTATTAATCCTCACCAGGTAACCACAACAGGTAATGCTTGACGTCTTTTGGACAGGTTGAGGGTAGACAGAAACCAATGGATTTTTAATGAATGGACAGGTAGAAACTGACAGTGTACAAGGTAACGATTTAGATATACTAGTTTCTAAGTAGTTTTAAGCTAGTCAGTTAGTTATGATCTTTTGAATTAGAAAATAATCAAAGCAAATTGATTTAGATGTTTCTACTGATACTAACTAAACTGAGTAATTGTGTTAATTAGCCATTATCCCCGAGTCTTCAGGTGAGTCGGTACCTGTAAAACAAAATGTAATCAATGAATAAGTCAAAACGTAAACAACTCGAGAAGATTACATTAGTCTTTTTCATTGAGTTTTGTTCAATAATTTTTCACTTTACATAAAATAAAAACTTTGTGAATTTATCGTATTTTGTGTCTTCATTACATACTAAAGATGTATGTATGTATGTATGTATGTATGTATAGGTAAAGCAGGACAAGTAGGCTCATGAGAAAATATGTAGACAGGTAGATAATTATAATTAGCCTATGAGATAGATAGATAGAGAGAGAGACAGACAGACAGACAGACAGATAGATAGATAAATAGATAAATAGATAGAGAGAGAGAGACAGACAGACAGACAGACAGACAGATAGATAGATAGATAGATAGATAAATAGTTGGTTGGGTGGATAGATAGAAATAGACAGGATGAGACAGTTACACCTTGTTCCTCCTCGCCTACAGGAAGTGTGGGACAGACGTAGTGACAGGGACGAGGTGGCAAGCTAGGAGCAATTCCATGGTGCTTTACTTCAAGGGCTCAGAGGGAGGATATCGTGGCTTCAAGGCGGAGGTCAGGTTTACGCCCATCCCCGGCTGCTGTACTACCCTGTCCAACACCTCCACCTCCGTCGTGTACCTCCATACTCCAGGTTATCCTCACCCTTACGACGGCAACTTCCACTGTACCTACGGCCTTCCACTTGTAAGACCTCACACCTGAAATGGAGTCAGTTTTATTTTATTTGTTCTGTGGTTTATTTTCCTGTTTTACTCTTTGTTATGTTTTGTTAATCTTGTATAGTGTTTTTAGTTTGGTTTATTATTTCAACATTTATTTAATTTGCTGGGTTTGGTTTGGTTTGGTTTGATTTTGGTTTGGTTAGGTTAGGTTACGTTAGTCTTTTCTTTATTGCTTTGTCAAGACATTTATGTAAACTTGATGGCGTTTCTATTTCTCAATCTATTTTATTGTATATATTTTTTTATCAAGGTTAACATAGTGTATTAGTGTATGTGTATTAATCTTCACAAATGAGTACGTTAAGGTCGCAATCCAGGGTGAAATATTCCAACCTGCAGGAGGCGCCGGCGAAGGTAGTGGTGAAGGTGACGAGGAAAGGCGGTGGCAGCGCAGCAGACCCCTGGACCTGCGCCCTCAGACTCTGTCAGCCACATGGACGATGCCGCAGGTGAGAGATTCATCCTTACAGGACTAGAGAGGACGGCGACGGAGGGAGAACCATCCTGACGAAGGAAGACAATTATAAATACATCTTTTCTTTTCATTCATTCTTAATTGGTATTTTTTTCTGCATTACGTCTTAAGGAAACCCTATACACAATAAAACCTCCATTTAACGGACCACATGGAGAGGAATATCCGTTTTATCGAGGGTCCAGTAGATGTAAGACTCGCATCTAACGAACTATATATGACAGTCCGTTATGTATAGGACCCATTAGATGTGAAGCTCCTCTAACGGATTATATACAGAGAGAAGTCCGTTATATTAAGGTTTCACTGCATATTACATACAATCTGGAAACTTTACGTGAGTCTCCCGCAACAGGTACTGCCGGGGAGTAGGGAAGAGGTCGGGGAGGGAGTGGAGGCAGGAGGTGGTGCTGCCCAACGTGGCCTCAGTACACCACCTTCAGTATAACAAGCGAGTCTCACCCTTCAGAGCCGAGAACGGTGCCTTCCAGGTCTCTCTCACCCTCGAAGAGTCTCCCTGCCACAAGGTGAGTCTTAACTCTCCCTGGAATACCACCTAACCTAACCTCCCTGGAATACAACCTGGATTTATTTATACAATATATTACCACAATGCAAGATCATACAATAGACTCACGTGAAGGTTAGTCATCCCAGCTGATTTCACCTGATGATTAAACACACTAACCTAACCTAACTTCTCACCCTAACCTAACCTAACCAAACTTCTCACCCTAACCTAACCTAACCTAACCTAACCTAACTTAACTTCTCACCCAAACCTAACCTAACCTAACCTAACCTAACCTAACCTAACCTAACTTCTCGCCCTAACCTAACCTAACTTCTCACCCTAACCTAACCTAACCTAACCTAACCTAACCTAACCTTCAGGTGACAAGCTTATACAAGTATTTCAAGATTACATGTTAGAGATCCTGTAGTGGACGCGTTTATTTCTGAGGCAATAAGTACCAGCTGTAGTTCATCACTTTGCATTATGTTTTATATCAATTACATTAAGATATTTTGATCATCTCTCAGTATCTCCTTTCACTATCTCTCACTATCTCCTATCACTATCTCTCACCATCATCTCTCACTATCTCTCACCACTATCTCTCACTATATCCTATCAAAATCTCTCACCATCATCTCTCACTATATCCATCACTATCTCCCATCACTATCTCTCACTATCTCCATCACTATCTCTCACTATCTCCTATCACTATCTCTCACCACTATCTCTCACTATCTCCATCACTATCTCTCACTATCTCCATCACTATCTCTCACCATCTCTCACTATCTCCCATCACTATCTCTCACTATCTCCATCACTATCTCCCATCACTATCTCTCACCATCATCTCTCATCACTATCTCTCACTATCTCCATCACTATCTCTCACCATCTCCCATCAAAATCTCTCACCATCTCCCACTCATACTATCTATCACTATCTCACACCATTCTCACCATTCCATCACTATCTCTCCCACTCACCATCTCCCATCACTATCTCTCACCATTCCCGCTCACTATTCCATCACTATCTCCCATCACTATCTCTCACTATCTCACTATCACTATCTCCATCACTATCTCTCCTATCTCTCACTATCTCCCATCACTATCTCTCACTATCTCCCATCACTATCTCTCACCATTAACTCTCACTATCTCCCATCACTATCTCTCACCACTATCTCTCACTATCTCCATCACTATCTCTCACCATCATCTCTCACTATCTCCATCACTATCTCTCACCATCATCTCTCACTATCTCCCATCACTATCTCTTACCACCATTTCTCACTATCGTTCACCATCATCTCTTATAATCTCTCACTGTCTCTCACTATCTCCCATCATCTCTCACTATCGTTCACTGTCTTTTACTATCTCTCACCATCATTTCTCACACTAACTCTCATTATCTCTCATCATCATCATCATCATCATCTCTACGTTACCATCTCTCATTTTCTCTTACAATCGTCTTTCACTATTTCTCATAATCATCTCTCACCATAAAAGAGTAAGAGATCTATATCGTGATCACAGATATGCGCAGGATTAGTCTCATGCTTCTATGAGACCTTCAGTGCAGTGGTGGATTCCAGGAGGAGTGGTGGATCCAGGAGTGAGTGGTGGATTCCAGGTGAGTGAGTGGTGATCCAGGGGAGGAGTGGATCCAGGTGAGTGAGTGGTGGATCCAGGTGAGTGAGTGGTGAATCCAGGAGTGAGTGGTGGATCCAGGTGAGTGAGTGGTGGATCCAGGTGAGTGAGTGGTGGATCCAGGTGAGTGAGTGGATCCAGGTGAGTGAGTGGTGGATCCAGGTGAGTGAGTGGATCCAGGTGAGTGAGTGGTGGATCCAGGTGAGTGAGATCCAGGTGAGTGAGTGGTGGATCCAGGTGAGTGAGTGGTGGATCCAGGAGTGAGTGGTGATCCAGGTGGGAGGAGTGGTGGATCCAGGTTGAGGAGTGAGTGGTGATCCAGGTGAGTGAGTGAGCAGTGATCCAGGTGGAGGAGTGGTGGATCCAGTGAGGAGTGGTGGATCCAGGTGAGTGAGTGGCGTGTGGATCCAGGTGAGGAGCGGGTGGATCTAGGTGGAGTGAGGCAGATCCAGGTGGAGTGAGTGAGTGGTGGATCCAGGAGGAGAGTGATGATCCAGGTGAGTGAGTGGTGGATCCAGGTGAGTGAGTGGATCCAGGTGAGTGAGTGGTGGATCCAGGTGAGGAGTGATGGATCCAGGTGAGTGGAGTAGTGGATCCAGAGCTGAGTGGTGGATCCAGGTGGAGGAGTGTGATCCAGGTGAGTGAGTGATGGATCCAGGTGAATGAGTGGTGGATCCAGGTGAGGGAGTGAGGAAATCTAGGTAAGGGAATGGTGGATCCAGGAGGAGGCAGATCTAGTGAGGGAGCAGTGGTGGATCTAGGTAAGGAATGGTGGATCCAGGTGAGTGAGCGGTGGATCTTAGGGTGGAGTGAGTGGTGAATCCAGGTGAGTGAGTGGTGGATCCAGGTGGAGTGAGAGTGAATCCAGGTGAGTGAGTGGTGGATCCAGGGGAGTGAGTGGCATCCAGGTGAGTGAGTAGTGAATCCAGGTGAGTGAGCGGTGGATCCAGGTGAGGAGTGGTGAATCAAGGTAAGTGAGTGAGTGGTGGATCCAGGTGAGTGAGTGAGTGGTGAATCCAGGTGAGTGAGTGAGTGGTGAATCCAGGTGAGTGAGTGAGTGGTGGATCCAGGTGAGCCAGTGGTGGATCCAGGTGAGGAGTGAGTGGTGATCTAGGTGGAGTGAGTGGTGAATCCAGGTGAGTGAGTGGTGGATCCAGTGAGTGAGTGGTGGATCCAGGTGAGTGAGTGGTAGATCCAGGTGAGTGAGTGGTGGATCCAGGTGAGCGAGTGGTGGATCCAGGTGAGTGAGTGGTGGATCCAGGTACTTCCTATAACATCAACAAGTCGTCCCCCTACAGGCGCCCCGAGAAAGCCACGTCAAGGTGAGTATGGAAGTCCTTTACCTGACGGGCCACGAGGACTCCTACCTGGTGGTGAACGAGGCAGGGGACGCCACCTACCCAGAGGACACCACCAGGGTCTACCACAGCCAGGATGAGGCGCCGCAGTCCTTCGTGTCGCTGGACCACAAAATATCACTGGTGCTTCAGGGAGACTTTGGCACGCACATCAACATGATATATGAGTTGTGTGAGTATCCCCCTCCGTGTGTGTGTGTGTGTGTGTTAGAAGACTACTTTGAAGAAAATAATCCCATTAATTTCTATCAACCTCTTTCCTCAGACGAGTGTGTAGACAGCGACGAGGAGTGTGAGTATTGGGCTGTGAGTGGTGAGTGTGACAAGAACCCACTCTGGATGAAGGAACACTGCAAGAGGTCCTGTCTCATATGTGGTGAGATAGAGTTATACAGACCATATAGTGATACAATATAGTTAGACCTATAATAATAATCGTTTTCTATTAAAGTAAAACCAGAAAAAATGTTTAGGGATAACAATGATAAAATATTTACTCTCACTATTTCATTTATGATTCATATTTTCTCTATATGTTTACCTTAGTATACATCTGAATTGATATAGATGACGTGTATTGAGGCAAAATAGAGTAAATAATGAGAAAATTAGGAACTTAATGCCTCCCACTTTCTCAGACTACTCGACAACATGTGACGACGGACATCCTGACTGTGAGTTCTGGGCTAAACACGACCAGTGTGAGGAGAACCGCATCTGGATGAACGTTCACTGCCGGAATGCTTGTGGCTACTGCGGTAAGTAGAGCGCTCATGAGGTGGTAGTGGTGACTGTGGTGGAGGTCAGTGACGTTGACGATGAGTGACGATGGTGATGATTTTCGTGGTGTTGAGTGACTAAATTATTGGTGATAGTGTTGACTGTGGCGATGACTGTAGTGGTTGCAGTAGTGACTATAATGGTGTTATGGGTGATACTTGTACCTATGAGCATGATGGTGACTATCTGTTGTTGTGTGTGGTGTGAGTGATGGTGACTGGTTGTTGATACGTGATGATATACAAACACTAGTAGCTTCTCTCAGATAGATTTTACCTCTTGACAAGTATTTTAGAAGTTTATTAATAATCTTAGAGAAATAACAACCAGCTTTCATTACCGAGTATCCTGAGAGAGAGAGAGAGAGAGAGAGAGAGAGAGAGAGAGTTACTTTAGGTCGCTTGATGAGATGTATTTATGATAACCATTTAATGTTATGTGCGCATCTAAGTCACGTCTTACAATGTTACCTTCTGCCGCCTGGTGATTCATCCTGATGTCTCGTCTCGTGTTTCCCCGTCCTCGTTCTTGTCCTTGTCTCGTCCTCGTGGTGTGGACAGAGAGGTGCTGGGACGCCAACATCTGGTGTGAACAGTGGGCAGCCATCGGGGAGTGTGAAGGCAATCCTGACTACATGAACCAATTCTGTAGGAAGTCATGTGGGATCTGTAGTGAGTACCTCGCCTTGCTGTGTCACGCTGCTGGTACTCAGTGTTATAAAATGTGGCCTGTTACAAAATCATTTCACATTGTACATAGTCATAAAATTATATAGTCTGTCCCAACATTAATTTCATATTCGAGATTTATAAATTATTTGACTTAGTTTAAGATTATTTAACATCTAGACAGTTGTGTTTCTTATAATTTGTAACTCTTTATGGCACAGTGTAATTACTGACCTTATTAAGCACTACCACCTTCTTGTGTCACTCTCATCTATTCTCTTCTTTCTTTTTATTTTGTTCAGTAGAAGACGAAGGAAACGTAACCACGACTACTGCTGAGGGACTGACGGAGAGACCGACGACCTCCTCTCCTCCCATGGTAGGTTCTCGCCCCACCACCACAGCCTCTCTCACCTTTAGGAAACCACGACCTCCCAGGAAGCACAACAGAGTGTCTTTCAACTACACCCGTCCTCCAACGACCCCCAGACAGAGGAGTCACCCCACCAAACACCCTGGAGAAAACGAGACAACGAAAAGCATCACCAAGAACCAGATGTTGAAGCCGACAAAAGCCAACCGCAAATATAAACCAAAGAGGACAAGATATTCTGAACCTCCACGACGGAATCAGCTGATGGACCGCAAGCCAAAGTTCGATGAAGCTTTTGGCAAAAAAGACATTTCCAGGTCTCCAGTTACTCGCCTGACTCCTCGACCTTACAAGAAGAAACAAATTGTGAGACCTTCTGCCAAGAAAAGACCGAATGTAATGAGACCACAAAATACAACTTTTGTACGATCTAATGAGAGAAGACCAACCAAGAAATTCACTCACACAGATAAAAGGTTAAGTAAGAAGCCAACTACTGCCACACCAACCTTTCACACAACAACAACTTCTGAACTATTGTCCACAAACAACTCTCTCAGCGCTGTCTTAGTGACGGCGCTTCCTCACAGACATGGAAGATTAAAACCAAGTTCTCTTAACAGAAGTAAAGCGACTCCAACTTCTCTTAGGGGAGACAGAGTGACCACAACGCCTCTCACGATAGAAAAGGTAATTGCAGCGCCTCTGACGTCAGAGCGAGTGACAACAACTCCATATACAATAGACAGAATAACACCAGATCTACCCACAGTAGACAGAATGACAACAGCGTCTCTTACTGCAGACAGAGACACACCAGCATTTCTCAGGACAGTCGGAGTGACGCCAGAGCCTATACACGAAGCCATGGTTACACCAGCGCCTCTGGTGGGAGTCAGGGGGACACCAGAACCTTTGAGAACAAGCAGGAAGAAGACAACAAGCCCTTCGTCGATCCAAAATCCCCGCAGTACATCCTCCAAGCTGCCTGACACAAGAGTCACCAGCAAAGAGACTGGTGAGAGCACCACGCCAAAGGATCCCGGCGGAGTTTACAAATCTCAGGGAATTTACGAGGAGCCTCAGTTGTCCACCATGTCTCAAGAGGGCGAGAGTGATGTCTGTGATGGCCGACGATGTGGAGGTGAACGACAAGGTCCTGATGCTCCTCCATCTGAGAAGAGTGAAGTAGTTGTCAGTAGACCTTTAAGAAGTCGATTTCATGACAATTCAACAAAGAGGAGGACAAACACCGTGACCACAACGACCCAACAAGGTCGAGCAGAAGAAGAAGAGGAACGTTTGAACGGAGGAGTGAAAAAGGAAAGGGAAAATAAACACCGGAAACACAAAAACAAAAGACGACACCAACGGCGAGAGAACAGAGGAAGCCGAAGACGGAGCCAACAACACAAGGAAGATAAAGACATACTGAAGAGAACCCGGAAACAGCGTCTAGGTGAAGGTGGACACCGAGGGAGGAAGAACACAAAAGGCAGAAGTAGCAACAGACGAGAGAGAGACAGGAAGAAGGACAGTCGAAGAGGTGACAAACAGGAAGACGAGAATCAAAGAAGAAGAAAGAAGAAGCAGAGGCATGGCGGAGGGAACACTAGACGCACCTCCTCCAAACATCAACGTCGCGGGAAATTTAATAAAAGGTAACTACAACATGGCTTTGAGGATCACTTATATAACTTAGGGGGAAGTGGGGGGTAGAGGGGGAGTGGAGGGGGAAGTGGGGGAGTGGAGGGGGAAGTGGGGGAGTGGAGGGGGAAGTGGAGTGGAGGGGGGAGTGGGAGGGTGAACGGGAAAGTGGGAGAGGGGAGGGTGGAGGGAGAGGGGGTTTAGCAACATTCAGGAGGTGTCAGTCACAATTTATGGTCAGATAGACATAGAGACATTCGGGGTTCAGTTTGATTTTTAAAGTACTGCTGTAAATTGTATGTCTGACGTCATATTAAATAAACTCGTATGATAATATTTCCCAGAATAACAAAACAAATTACCAAAGCATCAGAAGTAAAAGTTAGTCGTTGTATTTCATATGTGTGGAGTCTTATGGAGGGAGATCAATATTATGGAGTTATTTAATGATATACTGGGTGTGTGTGTTCCAGGAGGCGTGGTGGTGGTGGTGGTGCTCTGAAGGCGAACCATACAGCAGGCGAGGTGACGCAGCCAATCACTACACAGACGACCATCTCTCCCTCACCTACCACACCATTCCCACTCACCAACCTGCCCCTACCATCTACTAGTACCAAGACACCTGATACCCTGCCATCCATCTCTCATCCACCACCTTCCCTCACCCAGCCCACACCTACATCTCAGGTCACACCCACATCTCAGGTCACACCCACATCTCAGGTCACACCCACAGCTCACCCCACACCCACCACCGAGCCCAAACCCACCACCCAGCACACTACGCCCACTACCCAGCCCACAACTCAGGTCCCATCCACCACCCACTCATCTCCTCCACCAGACGCCAACATCACCTCCACCACTCCACGTCTTGGTGTCTCAAGCATCTGGTCGCCCCTGGATTCGAACCCCACTGCAGGGAGACCCACCGTGACCACCGCCACACGCCTGCCAGTAGTATCCACAACCACGACAACTACAAGAACTACGTCCATAATCCAATCAGTCTTTACAACTACACCTCGAACCACAATCACACCCAACATCACCCCGCCCATCCGCCAATCACATCTTACAACCGAGACTGTCCACCAATCAACACACGGAACCACGCCCACCTCTACTACGTCCATAAAGTTCCCATTATCTACACCTTCTCCTCAAACTGTAGCTACGCCCGCCCCGCCCACCACGCCCGCACTACCGCCTCCCTCAACACTCACCTCTGTCAACTGGCGTCACACGACTCTCCCGTGGTCAACACCTTCCAGCCTGAGTAAGTGTTCTCCTGACGAAGGTGTGTGTGTGTGTTCTCTTTGTCTCCTCTAGCCTCACACACATTAGTTTGACATCCGCTCGTAAGATAGGATAAATATATCATATATAGTGAGAATGTCTCCTCATACTTTCTATGATTTTTTCTACAGGTACTGAGCAAGAACCAACGGGAGTAGATTCGACAGACGCAGCAGTGTTGGGTGTCCTTCTCCCTCGTCAGCCTCACCAAAATAGTGTTTACAGACACACTCCTCACTCCATCAGTTCCTCTCTACCTTCACGCAAGCACAGTAAACCACATAAACACAATAAACCAAATAAACCAAGTAACTCAAACAAGAATAGTAAACCACGGAAGTATAAGAAACCACACAAGTACGTTAACAGAAGACGCGGTCGCCCACACACCAATCGACCAATACACTCGCGTCTTCCTGAAGATAAGAGACGCACCAAGATGACCTCAAACCACCGCCAGCATCCCGATAAGCAATATAGCCTCAGTGCCAACAACAGGTCACCTCACCACCGCCGACGACTCTCCCACCTCCTCCCCGACTGGCTGCACCGCTTTGGCCCTCACAGATATTCCTTCCAACAGCAAAACTTGAATTCTCTACAAGAAAGACGTAACCAGAAGACACCAAACCGAAGAAGACGTCCAACACAACACTCCCAGACGGGGTCATCACCTGCAGTGTACCACAACCTTAACCAAGACCTACCTGGATCCCGACGGAGGATAGGGACCTCTGGCAGGAGTACGCAGACGAAGCAGGACAAAACAGAGCTAGAGGCGCAGACTCAGATAGATAACCAGACGGAGACGGTGACGGAGACGCAGCCAGGGAGCAGCCAGCCTCCACAACGGTCCCCAGAGAGATACGCGGAGTGGGGCATCGGTCCAGTGAGGCCGCCGTGAGTGTCTTGTTATCACAACTTTTTGGGAAAAACAATTTATTATTTTTTTAGTCTACTTCCACAAAAAATGCAAGTCATCATGAGCATGCAATTTTAGCATTAAATATAAGTAACAAGCATTCGAGGCACCAATGTATATAGGGCCCATCCTAACCTAACAAAACATATACCCATTAGGAATAGAGCCAATTACGACAGGGCCTCAATCCCTATGGTTAGGTTAGATAAGGCCTATTTAAGACCCTGGCCTATAAAGACTGATTAGGACCTATTAAGAATGATGCCTATGAGAACTAGAACCTATTAAGACTGAAAATCAAACAGCCAGTCACCTTAATAACCCACTTTGAACTCCTCCTTCTATGGGTACGAGTTTATTTGACCTGGCAGCTGATTCTTGTATTGACATCAACAAGAACCAACAATAAACTCCCTTCCTCTACTAATCAACATCCCAGACTACATTTTACAGGGTCGCCCTCCTTCATGACCTACAGGAGACTAGAGAATGGGCGTGTGAGAGAGAGAGAGATGTTATGGGCACAAGGAGGCCCTCACACCTACCACCAAGGTAGGGGTAAGGGCCTCATGCCTCGGTGCGATGGTCGGGTGCCTCAAGGTGTAGATGAGATGAGAGAGAGAGAGAGAGAGAGAGAGAGAGAGAGAGGTCAGATATAACAGCACCCACCACACACTGTCTCAGGCTTCACTCGTCCGGGAGAAGACAGCCTCCTCGCCCGGGCTGGAAGTTCAGGCGAGCATTCTACCGCCGAGAACACATTTACGAGGACATCTGGCCTCCGAGACCCCTGCGAGACCGGGGCACCTCGAGGACGCCCACACAGAGGCTTCCACACACTCGAGGCTTCAGGTGTGTGTTGATGGTAGTGATGGTAGAGATGGTAGTGATGGTAACAGAGATAACAGTACCCCCATCTACGGTCAACAGTGTATATAGAGAATCCACGAGAAACTTCCATATTTTTTGTAGATATTCTGAACCCATTTTAAGACATGCACAGAGAGTTATGTAGCAGCCATTTTGTATATAATTTCATCCCATTTAATGACATCTAATAGGAGAATTATTGGAGTTATTTCTGTATATAAGCTGAAATAATTAATTACATATTTGCCATTAATAAATAAAGTAGATAATTCTTGTTTTATGTACATATTGTTATTGTTATTAGTATTGGTATTATTAAAGTTATTGTTATTATTGCTATTATTATTATTATTATTATTATTATTATTATCGAAGAATTATCAGTGACGTCATCTGTTACAGGTAAGGCAGGTGGACGCCAGCCACTGATGAGTCACGCCACCAGCCCTCACCTCTCTCTCTCTCTCTCTCTCTCTCTCTCTCTCCCCTTTTCTATGTATATATATCTATTTCGATATCTCTACTACCCTTCAACCAGCTGTGGGATACAGCTGGAGCATCTACCAACCTTTAAGCAGCTGTAGAGTGCAGCTGGAATATCTACCAGCCTTCAACCAGCTGTAGAGTGCAACTGGAATATCTACCAGCCTTCAACCGGCCGTAGAGTACAGTTGGAACATCTAGCAGCCTTCAACCAGCTGTAGAGTGCAGCTGGAACAAATCATGGTGAATATACCTGGATAAGACGTGTTCTGGCCGACAGCTTCACGTTCCTGACGAGAGTTTGTGATCAACCTACCATACGAGTTGGTGTACAGGGTGGGCCAGAATGAATGACCAAAATCTGAGTATTCCTTTTTGACGACTCTGTATATATTTCAGTCTTGGTGCTATACATAATAAGTACATATACGATACATATAAGGGACAGTTAATATACATATATGATGGAATATATATCTACTATAGACATTTATTTCTGTGAGTGGAAACTGTTACTGTATCATCTCCAGACCAGGATTCGAACCCATGACCGATATATAAATGGGTTCAGACTTATTGATCAGTGATTCAAGGCGCTATAGTCAGGCCACCACGATCCTGCTGTTCGTGTAAGAAGTGAATGACTATATTTCGTGGCCTGTTAGTCCTGTTAAAGATGGCGGGTGTTTGTTTACGTTTATTGTGAGCCGCCATCTTGTATACCTCATGAGCCGCCATCTTGGATCCCTCGTGAGCTGCCATTTTGGATCCTTCGTGAGCAGCCATCTTGTATCCCTCATGAGCCGCCATGTTGGATCCCTCGTGAGCTGCCATCTTGGATCCCTCATGAGCCGCCATCTTGTATCCCTCGTGAGCAGCCATTTTGTATCCCTCATGAGCCGCCATCTTGGATCCCTCATGAGCCGCCATCTTGTATCCCTCGTGAGCAGCTATTTTGTATCCCTCATGAGCCGCCATCTTGTATCCCTCATGAGCCGCCATCTTGGATCCCTCGTGAGCTGCCATTTTGTATCCCTCATGAGCCGCCATCTTGGATCCCTCATGAGCCGCCATCTTGGATCCCCTACAGATGACCTCGCCATTTGAACAAACTATCTGGAACATGAAGTCGTCTTTCTTGCTCACTCCGGGTGTTCAATTGATGATGAATGTAGTAACGTGAAGTGTCAAGGTACGATGTTGAACAGATTGAACATGTGTTATTCCCCTGATAATATGGAACAGTGAACGTGAAGTACTTAGTGGTGATGTTGAACAAAAAACGTGTGAGTTGTTCACTGTATATCATGTCATATAACTCTAAGCTACCACATGACGTCATATTGCTCCCACCTACCTTCATGACGTCACATAAACCAGTAATGACGTCATAGAACCCACTGATGACGTCAGATAAACCCGCTTATGACGTCACATATTCCCCCTTTATAATGACGCTGACGCTTATAAACAAATCACTGCCATTAGGGTGTAGAGTACAAGGTAAGGTCCCAGAACAGAGACCAATTAGGCCTGAGGTCTCTTGGTAGGAGGGTCAGCAGAGGGTCAGTGCTAAATAGAACTGAAAGTGGGTCGTTAGAGGCAGTGTGGATACAGCACACTGTGTACTCAGGAAGCTGTTGGAGGAACTGGGAGCGCCCGGAAATCTAACCACCGACCCCTGGAACAAGAGATAGGGCCTCATTTAGACAGGGGCCCAATAGGACTGATATTCCTTAAAACTTGGGCCCATTAGGACTAAGGCCCATCAAAGCTGGGGCCAATTGGGACTGGCCCCCCCTTATGGATAGGGTCCATTATTACTCGGTACTTCACCTTTGTTTATCATTATTGTTTATATACTCCCAATATCTTTCATTATTCTCTGTTCCTTTAATTCTTAAGTAAATATAACAAAACTTTAACCTTATCTTTGTTTATCATCTTTATCACAATTTATTATACTTTATATTAGTTTATTTACAATTACTGGGCTGCATTTGAAAAAAAAATTCATGAGGTGCGGGGTTTCTTAGCTGATTCTTTATGTATTTTGCGTGCTGATTCCAAAAATGCCATTCATTTTGCCCAATCAGGTCAGATTTTTATGCTATGGGAATTAGGAAAAAATCGAAATTCTTAAATATGATGTCAAAATTTTTATGCAAAATATATCATAAGAAATGTAACCACAACACATAGGACCAAAATATGTCAACTACATAGATGCCTTTACAGTTAGACATGCATAAATGGCTGTCGCAGAGAATTTCTTTGGTGGTTGGTGTCTGGGGCGTCCCGTTTCAGACACCAACAGTAGTCGGCGAGCATGTTGATATCCCAGCGACCCTGGTACCGCTCCTCCATTACACGGATATCTTGATGGAAGCGTTCTCCTTGTTCCTCACTCACATCACCACAGTTCTCTGGAAAGTAGTCCAAGTGGGAGCTGAGGAAGTGCATCTTGATGGACATGCGTGCACCAAGAACTTTGTAGCTCAGAAGTAGGTCCTCAACAACTCGTTCATACTCTGGACTTCTGTAGTTGCCAAGAAAATTGGAGACAATAGACTTAAAGGCATGCCAGGCTTTCTTCTCATTTACATCCATGCTGCAATCAAACTTGGGATCTTTGAAAAGCTCTCTGATCTGAGGGCCATCAAAAATTCCTGCATTCAGCTTTGCCTCACTGACTTTTGGAAAATTTTCTTTCAGAAAATTGAAAGCCTGGCTTTTTTTGTCCAGTGCCTTTACAAAGTTTTTGAACAGACCGAGCTTGATGTGCAGTGGCGGAAGAAGAATGTTCTGCTGATTCACCAGAGCATGGGCAACAACATTGTGAGAACCTGGAGTAAGTCCACTTCTTGCAGGCCAGTCACGTTGCATGTAGTGCTGCTTGTCTGCTCGACTATCCCACAGACAGAGGAAACATGCCATGTACCACCAGATGAAAAAGAAATTTAATTGTGAAAAAATATATGTAAAAAAACACGGACATATACTCTTTTCCTTTGCGTCATGGCGGACATTTAAATGGCCGGCGAGCACGTGGGTGTATTTAAATGCATCGTAAGGGCATTAAAACTGACCGAAATCTTTTCTGTGAGGCTTGCCAATGTCTCAGATGATTTTTTTAATGAACGAATATGAGGACCCCATTTTGAGCGAAAAATGCCAATATTTTACCTGAATCTCCGCTTAAAATGCTATAGCACAAAATTCTGACCTGATTGAGCAAAATGGATAACATTTTTGAGATCAGCATGCAAAATACACCCAGAAAAGCTTAATAATACACAAACCTCAAAAACTATGCAGGGCAGTGTTATCTTTCCATTATACATTTATTCTTTATCTGTCTCTCTCTTTATCATCAAACTTTATTCACACTTTACGGAGACTTGAACAGCGTTAGTTTACTGTGATAAAGTAATGTGTCTTTTGTAATAGTTTGTGAAGCAATAAAACGAAGACTTTGGTGTACCTGTGTGATTATACCTCTGGACGGTGTGAGAGAGAGAGAGAGAGAGAGAGAGAGAGAGAGAGAGAGAGAGAGAGAGAGAGAGAGAGAGAGAGAGAGAGAGAGAGAAACAGAGAGAGAGACAGAGACAGACAGACAAACAGACAGAAAACAACATAACTACATAACACGGTAATAACAGACACAACAATAACGATAATTATTAGACAAAAAAAAAGCAATAATTAAACCAACCAGAAGGAAGAGCAATAAACAGGAATTAGAGAAGAAGGTAATAAAGATCCATCAAAGGAGACGATGATAACTGCTGATGAGAGAGAAGGTAAGGAAGGATAACAAGGAATAAGGCAATAACAAGAGGACAATAACAAGAACTAAATGACAAAGCAATAACAGGAAGTGCAACGAGACTCATTAAATATCTCTGAAGAATATAACAGTAAACTTAATTTTTTTCAGAATTTTTAGTCGTTTTCAGAATTGTTGGTGTCTCTTGAAGCGCCCACAGGGACCTTCTCTATCAGTCAGTTCCACTCAGGTTCTCACTTTTTGTTCACTTACGTTAACAACAATAACAACAATAACAACAACAACAACAACAACAACAACAACTACTACTACTACTACGACTACTGCTAATAATAATAATAATAATAATAACAACAGCGATAACTTTCTTGCATTACCTAACATTATCAACTAGAGTAAGAACCTCAACTAGTCTTTTATGTCACCAGGGGGAATAAATAACCTTTTATGGTGTCAATATCTAGAATTATAATGGCCTTTTGGACCTTGTAATAGCGCAGTGTGGGCCATTATCACCCTTAACAACCAATATCTTTCATGGCTAATTACAGTGGCTTGTTTTGGGGTCATTTTCTCACTTGGGTAATTGTCTTCATCTTCCACTATTATCCAGGTGAGAGACGAGGCCTAATTAAGTCTCATACCTGGGCGTAATTACTTCTTTCTTTCACACCTGAGAGGGAGGAAAGGGTTGAGGGGAGAGGAGGGGAGTGGGAAAGGAGTGGGATGGGGGTAAGAGGGGATGGTATGGAGTGAGGGGAGAGATAGGAGAGTGAGAGGGAAGAAGAGTAAAGAATGGGGAGGTGGGAATGAGGGAAAGGCAGGGGGCGTAGGAGAGGAATCAGGAGGAAGGATGGAGGAAAGGGAAAATAAGAGAAGGAGGAGGAGGGAGGGAGAGGAGAGAATTTTCCTCACTATCAACAACCTTAGGAAAGGATACTCCCCACAAATGACACCCCCATCCCCACACACACACACACGACACCCTCCCCCACACATGACACCACCCACATGACACCCCCCACACATGACACCCCCCACACATGACACCCCCACACACACACATGACACCCTCCCCCACACATGACACACCCCACACACATGACACCCCCACATACATATGACACCCCCCACACACACATGCCCCCACACATGACACCCCCACACGACACACACACACATGACAGACCCCACACACACACATGACACACCCTCACACACACACTACACACCCCACACAAATGACACCCCTATACACACATGACACCCCCACACACACTCACTCACACCCCACACAAATGACACCCCCCACACACTACACAATCCCACACACACCCCCACACACATGACACCCCATACACACATGACACCCCCACACACACTAACCAACACACACACACCACACACCCCACACATCCCACACACCCCACACAAATGACACCCCACACACACATGACACACCCCCACACACACACACACCCCACACACACACTACACCCCCACACACATGACAACCCCACACACACTACACCCCACACACTACACCCCCACACACACACATGACCCCCCACACACACTACACCCCCCACACACACACTACACCCCCACACACACATGACACCCCATCACACTACACCCCACACACATGACAACCCCCACACACACTACACCCCCACACACACACCACACCCCCACACACACATACCCCCCACACACACTACACCCCACACACACTAAAACGCCCCCCACACACACATGACACCCCCATCACACTACACCCCCACACACATAACACCCCACATACAGTACACCCCACACACATGAACACCACCCACAGACACTACACCCCCCACACACACATGACACTCCCCACACACATACACACCCACACACACATGACACCCCCACAAACACACATGACACCCCCACAAACACACATGACACACCCCACACACACTACACCCCCCACACACACACACACCACACCCCCACACACACACACACACCACACCCCCCACACACACACACACACTACACCCCCACACACACCACACCCCCACACACACACACTACACCCTCCACACACATGACACTCCCCACACATACACCCCACCCCCCACACACACCACACCCCTCCACACACACACACACACTCCCCCACAGACACACCACACCTCCTCCACACACACACACACTCCCCACACACACACACACACCACACCCCACACACACACACTACACCCCCCACACACACTACACCCCCCCCACACACACACCACACCCTCCACACACATGACACTCCCCACACATACACCCCACCCCCCCACACACACCACACCCTCCACACACACACACACACCACACCCCCCACACACACACCACACCCCTCCACACACACACACCCACTCCCCCCACACACACACCACACCCCCACACACACACACACACCCCCACACACACACTACACCCCCACACACACACCACCCCCACACACACACACACACACACCCCCCACACACACACCACACCCCCACACACACACACTACACCCCCACACACTCACACTACACCCCCCACACAAACACACACTACACCCCCCACACACACACACACCCCCACACACATGACACCCTCCCACACACACACTACACCCCCCATACACACTACACCCCCACACACACAACCCCCACACACATGACACACCCCACACACACACACCACACACACCCCACACACGACACACCCCCACACACACACTACACCCCCACACACATGACACCCCCCCACACACACACACTACACCCCCATACACACTCACACCCCCACACACAACCCCCACACACATGACACCCCACACACACACACCACACACACCCCCACACACACCACACCCCCACACACACTACAACCCCACATACACACCACACCTCCCCCACACACACACACTACAATCACCCCACACACACACCACAACCCCCCACACACACACACACACTACACCCCCCACTCACACACACATACTACACCCTCCGACACACACACAACCCCCCACACACATGACACCCCACACACACACACACACACACACACTACACCCCCACACACACTCCAGCCCCCCACACACACTACACCCCC